GGGGCAGGGGCAGGTGGTGCCCAGCCAGGGTGGGGTGGGGCACTCATCAGGTGGGGCAGCTTCCACCACTGCTTGCACCTGAGGAAGGCATGGGCGGGGGGGGAGACATGTGCCACAGAGTGGTGTGAGTGGGCTGCAGCTATAAGCTGGCGCCAGGGCTGCGCCAGGCTCTTCTCAGTGGGGGCTGGGCTTGGGGCAGGGGCTACAGTGTGGGCTGCAGCCACATTGAAATGAAAACCTCATTTCACCATAGCTTTCTCCCAGAAGCATTGCCACCATCACCTGCCTGCCCAGTGCATGGTGGGGAGGCAGGGGTTGAGCTGAGGCTGCACCAGGCAGGCAGACAATGGTGGCAGTGCTGGGAGGGAGCTACAGTGAAATTTAGGGTGGCTGCAGCCCCCTCCTGTAGCCCCTGCCCTGAGCCCAGTTACCAGAGAGAAGAGGCTGGTGTAGCCCTACCTCTAGCATGCAGCTGCAGCCCACCTGCCCCAACCCATGCTGATCTGGGGGTAACCTCCCATGCCCTCCCAGTGTTCAAGCAGCAACAGGAGCCACCTCACCCCACTATGGCTTGGTAGCACCTGCCTCTGCCCCTGCTCCCTCCCTCCCTCCCTCCCTCCCTCACTGTGTGTGTGGGGGGGTTGATCTGTCCCCCCATGTCCCTTCCCATGCATGAGCATTTATTGGCCAAATTATCATCCCCATTGGGCCAATTTCTGATACAACCAATTTTCTTTATATCGGTACTGATCTGATATTGGACCGATGTATTGGGGCACCTCTATATGAAAGAATACTTCAAACCACATTGTGGGTGGCCTAAATGGTGGGTCTCTGGGAAGCATCAGAGAAGGGTAAAGTACAGAGGTATCAAGAGCATAATAGCAGTTATATGTAGCACATAACTCAAGATGGACTAAAACTGAAATAGCAGAGAACAGCTTCAGTCTCAGCTACTACTTTCCTCCGTATCTAGCAATTTCTCGAATGTGCTCTGTCTGGCTGAGCAGAGACAGTTATTAACTGTTATTAACCATAGATCCCCTTAAAACATTTGTACCAAACCCACAACCTCAGGAACTGGTACAGGAAGCTGAAAAGAAGCTTCGACTTTTATATAGAAAATGCTAGGTGTCACAAGCCAATGGACTAAGAAGAAAGGAACAGGTACAAGTAAATAAACATTACCATCTAGGTACATACACTTAGGGACTAGGTGACAGGTAATTAGCAGTAACACTGGGGTGGATTCACCTCAGAACAGGTAACAGGTAGTGAGCACTACCACTGTGGTACATATGCTCAAGAAAACCTTAAATCCTCCCATATCTCTGGAGGTGGTCCAAACCAGCCTCTGGTCCCAAAAGTGCTCAACTGCCATCTACATGTACTTCCACATCTGAGTCCTGCTGCTACACTCCACAGTTCCAGCTCTGTCGCTTCTCTGGGATCTCCAGTCATGCATTTCCTTCTGCTGTTGTGTCCTTCCCTCTGCCACTGTGTCCTGCTCTCTGCCGCTACTTCCTGCTTCCTCTTCCTCTTATCTCCCCACCTTCAGTGTCTCTTGGGGTATAGTCTACATGTAGTCAGCACCGTTCTACAAGATTTTTCCCCCCAGGGACTCCTGGGATTTGTAGTCCAAATCCAGTCAGAAGGACTGTTCCCCCTGCTGTCACACATTCACATTACAGCGCATGACATTCACTATACTACATTATCTCCCACTTTGCACCTCTGAGTCCAACTAGAGTTATACCATGTAGTCACTAAGCCATCTGGGAGATGTTCACTGTCTCTGTGATCTACCTGGGAATTCAGGAATGGGGGTCCCCTTTAGCTCTGGTAGGTTTTGAGTACCCTCAGATGTACCCAGCCCTGTTTTTACCCCTGTACTTGTTCTTTTTCATTATCTTAATTTCCATAAGGCCATGGATCCCACCCTACATTTCTGGATATAGAAGCACCCTCTGGCAACACCCTATTGGGCCTATTTGGGACTCTATTAGTGAAAGTTCAGTTATAGGGGTCACATAGCCCTTGGCATCATCTTGGTTGTTGACCCTGTCAGGCAAGGGTCTCTGAGCACACATAGGGTTTCATTCAATTATAGTGTACTACCAATGTCTGTCTGCTGGGCCTGCTTGCTAGCTCATACAGCATTATAGTCAACTTCCTGATGACAATATTGGGGCTACTGAACCTTTTGCATAGTTTTCGATGCTGTCCCCAGCTCCTGGTCTGCTTCCATGTCCACATCAGTTCTCCCAGTTCATAAATCTGTCCAGTGACACTAAAACAGGAGTGGGCAAAATCTTCCATCCAAACAACACCACATATTGGGTATACCTTGTAGATGACTGCACATTACTCCAGTAGGCCATTATGACATAATGGAGTACCTCATCCCACGTCATCTGATTGTCTTTGACCAGGGAGGGCAGCGTGTTATCTAGAGTATGGTTGAACCATTCCACCAACCCTTCATATTGGGAGTGATATGATGTTGTGTGGGTTTTATTGATTTCCAAAAGATCACATATATGGTGAAATAGCTGGGATTCAAAATTTCTTCCTTGGTCAGTATGGAGGGATCTACGTACACCATGGTAGCATGTGAATCTCTCAGCAAAAAAACATTTCCACAGTCAGGCTCCTATCAGGGAGTCAGTACGTTTCCACCCACTTGGAAAAATAGTCATCTGCTACTAAGACATACTTGTTTCCATGTGGCATTATGAGTAGGGGACTCAGGATATCTATGGCCATCCTTTCCAGGGTTTGTTCAGCCTGCACAGAGAATATGGGAGCCTGGGGGTTACTCCTTATTCCTTTTTGCACATCACATACCTTGGACAACCTACACTAATCCCTGACAGATTTTCTCCAGCCCAACCAGAAATACCAAGACTTGGCCTTATGTGAGACTTTCTACATGGCCAAATGTCCCCTAGTATTGGAATCATGCAGAATTTGCAAAATTGTTGTTGTTTCCTTTTCATGGACTACTATTTGAATATGCTCATGTCCTTGGGCAGATTCTGGAAGTTTTTGCATCAGTACTCCTTGCCTAATGCTTATCATAGGCAACGCTGTCTGGTACTGATTTCCATCTACCTTATTAGTTTCTTAATATCAGCATCTTTCCATTGTTTTGTACACCAATCTGCCAAACCTGTGACCTCCCTTGTACCTGGAGTTGGTTTAGTTCAGGCTGTCTCTTCTGCTAGTGGCTGTACCCCCACCACCCCAACTTTAGGTTCAGCTTCCATTGTGGGAGGCCTATGGGACAAGGCATCAACATTCTGGTGCTGCCATCTAGGGAGATACACTATTTGAAAGCTGTTCCAACCACCTAGCCAGTTGTCCTTCAGATTGTTGAAAAATGTGTAGCCAGTGGAGAGAACCATAGTCTGTTCTTAATTTGAAGCATAACCCTAGGAGGAAGTGTCAAAAATGTTTGGTAAAGGTCACCACAGTGAGGAATTCCTTTCTTGTAGTTACATATTGGCATTCAGCCTTGTTTTGGGTTCAGCTTGCATAGGCTTTCACCACTTCCTGGCCTCATTCAACTTGTGAAGAAATAGCTCTGATGCCAATGTTACTTGTGTCAGTGTCCAACAAGAAGGATAACTGAGGGTTGGGGTACACTAAGATAGGGGATGACATTAACTGCTGATTTAGCTCTAGAAAGTCGTCTTGATATTCTTTAGTCCAGATGAACTTTGTCCTATCAGAGAATTTATGTAAGGGGCTCATGATGTAAGTGAAATCTGACATAAATCTCTTATAACAGGAGTCTAGACCCAGCAGCTGAACAGTTTTTTTACATTTTGAGGTACTGTCTAGATTTTAACTGCTTTCACTGTCTCTGGATTTGGCCCTGCTCCTTCATGGAGATCACATGTCCAAAAACATTCATTTCCTTTCAGAAAAGCTTATATTTAACAAGTTTGACTTTTTGATTGGCCTCCTTCAGCCTCTTAAGCGCTGCCTTGCATTCTGCAAGGGCTTCTGGAAGGTTCGGCTTATCACAATGATATCATCTAGGTATACCAGACAGGAGGACCTTTGTAGTTATGCTAAGAAAATATCCATCGTTCTCTGAAATGTACTGGGAGCATTACATAGCCAAAAGGCATAATGTTAAACTCAAAAAGTTCTGTCTTAGTGCAGAAAGTGATCTTGGTTCTGTCCTCTGAATTCACTTCCACTTGCTAATACCCACTAGCCAGATCAAGGGTTGAGAACCATTGGGATTTGGCCAGGAGGTCTAGTATGTCATCAGTCTGAGGTATGGGATATGCATACTTAACAGTAACATTATTCAGTCTGTGATAATCCACGCAAACCTGCAGACTTCCCCACTTCTTCCGATACAACATCCCAGCGGCAGCCCATAGACTGACATAGGGCTTGATTATGCCTCTCTCTTTCTTCTCTTGCAGCTGCTGGTGAAACTTCTGTTGGAAATGAATGGGTACTCTTCTAGATCCTTGTTTGACAGGTCTATCACTTTCAGTGTTGATCCAGTGCTTTGTCAGGACTGTACACCCTAGATATCCCAGGTTGGTGTGTGCATATTCCTGCAGGACTTTCTGCATTGCCCTCACTTGCTCAGATTCCAGGCCAGCTTGAACTCTCATTCCAATTTTTGTGCAGTTGATTAGAGGTTATCACCTGGTTCTCCAAGATGTTGGTTCTTGTCTGCACTCAGTACTCTTATAGCAACCAACCCCTCTGACCCAGGGTCCACCTGCCAGTCACCCACCCCTGCTGGTCAACCACCCTGGAGGACAGCAACTCCTGTCTCAAATGTCCCAGTTAACTGGCTTGACATGTGACCTCTGAGGTTCTGTTGACAGCATGTACTGGAAGTTCAATGCTGTGGTTCTTACCCATCACGGTTCCCACCAGGAATCCTAATCACTCATTGAACTTAGGCTCAAATAAGCCCTCCTCTTCTTCACAACACCATATCTTCAGTTTGCCAGTGATTATCATCTCACTTTGATGAGGTATTGTTAGATTCTTCTCCACTATCACATCACATACTCCTTTTCGGCCATCTGTGGTATACAGGGGGAAACACCCTCCTAGAGAGGAACAGGAGAAATCTGAAAAATTCATAGAAACCTGATATTTTACGGAAGTCAGCATCCTTTGCTATGAGGAATTTACATGGCAGCTGCAGACCTTGGAAGTTGATAGCTGTATTCCACTTTCCCAGAATTGAGAGTGCTTCCCCATTGGCTGCTTTTACCACTAGTACACAGGTTCAAAGTTTCCTTTCTAGTTCTGCTATGACTTGCTCCAATATTTGGCTATGTATAGTGGATACCTGGGCATCTGAATCTAAGAAGACTTGGCAAGTAAGCTCTTCTAGCTTTCCCTCTAGGCAGTAGCTCAACCCTACAGCACTGACAATTACCATCTCATCCTGTGGACCATCCTGGCCTTTCCAGCAGTGGATGGGCCCCTCTCCACTTCCCACCTCAGTTTCCCTGCTTGGAATGCCATCTTCTCTCTGGGCATTCCCTCCATAAGTGATCATGGCCACCACAGTGCCAGTATCCATCAGCAGCCTCCTAATGAGACCCCACCTGCTGTACCTTTGCCTCAGTGTCCTGGGAACCTAGCTTTATGACTTACTGTGGCAGGGCATTTGCCAGGCCAGTTACCTCTCCAGTGAAAGGCGAGGAGGGGCACCTTAACCCCAGCCCCCATCAGGTGGGCTTTGGAGGCAGTTGGGAGAGTAGTGGGGCCAGGCACAGCAAGCAGAGTGCCACCTGATCCCAGCAGGGATGCGAGATCGTGGAGACCCCAGAGGGGGTAGCGTGAAGAGCATAGTGTGTAGCCCCACACAGAGTAGGGCTGAATAAGGAGTAGGCCTGAACGGCAGTCCCAGGGGAGTATTGAGTAGAGCCAAACTGGGAGTAAGCCTGAAGGGCAGCACAAGGGCTAGTCCCATGAATAGTCAATTATGAAGATGAGAAGACCCCAGGTTAGGGTATGGTGTAGAGGCCCTAGAGGGGGCATAGAAGGAACCCCATGTATGGGGCAGAGGCCAAGGCATGGATATGGATGCCTGAGGTCATAGTTTGGGCCAGAGGCTGAGTAGGGGGCTCAGCCAGAGAGTTGGGGGAAAGTCCTGACCCTGGCAAGTCCTCCATGGTAAGGAGGCTGACTATGGGATGAAAGTAAGACTGGTAGTCTGAGCACAATGACCTGCTGCTCCAGGGAAGGAGGGAGAGTCCCTGTGAGACCTGGGAGCACCAGTCATGGTGCAGGGTATGATTACAACATGTGGATGCCATCTGCAAGGCATGGGCTGTGGTGTAGGGAAGGCTGGAGCTGCAGATAGTGTCCCCTGGCATCAGGGCATGTAATGGGCAGTCTCCCACATTTACCACCAGTTTGAGAACAGCAGTCATAGCAGGTGAGACAGGGTGGATTGCCCCATAGAGACAGGTGGGTGGGCCAGAATGGGACTCGGCCCCGAGCTTACCCCCTGTCACGTTCACCCAAACTCTGGGGCTTTCCCAGCCACAGTTGAGCCTGCGCCTCCCCACTGAAGTCACTGCTGACAAAGTGGTCATGGGCCAGCATGTCCTGTACCTTTGGGCCAACTTGTGGGAAAGCCTTTATGGCTAATCATCTTAGGGCCATGTCAAACTCTTGAGTTAACTTTGCTGCCATATTCTTATAATTAAGGAAAGTGGCACAGTTGAATTGAATTGAATATTGGCCTGAAGACACTGGGGTAGAGGGAAGAGGGGTTTCTCTCCCTGGGATACACAACTTTTCACCTTAAATACTCATACAACAACAAGATCAATACATTCCTGCAGCAGTTGGCTCTATGCATGATGGCTTGTGACCACCAATGCCACCACTGCCACCAGCTGTACCAAACCCTACAACCCCAGGAGCTGGCACAGGAAGCTGAGAGGGAAGTTCCCACTTTTATATAGAAAATGCTAGGGGTTAGGGCCACAAGCCAATGGACTAAGGAGAAAGGAACAGGTACAGATAAATAAACATTAACATTAAAGTACATACACTTAGGAACTAGGTAACAAGTAATAAACAGCAATACTGTGTTGAATTCACCCAAGAACAGGTAACAGGCAGTGAACACTACCATAGTACATAACTCAAGAAACCTTAAACCCTCCTACACCTCTGGGGGTGGTCCACACTAGCCTCTGGTCCCAAGAGCGCTCAGTTGCTGTCTACACATGCTTCCACATCCAAGTCCCACTGCTACAGTTCGCAGTCCCAGCTCCATCACTTCTCCAGGATTTCCAGCCATGTTTCCATCTGCCACTGCTTCCTGTCCCTTTTGTCTCCCTGCTCCCAGTGTCTCTGGGGGTTGTAGTTTACATGCAGTCGGCACAGGTCTGCAAGACTGTTCTCCTTTCCAGGGACTCCTGGGAGTTGTAGTCCAAATCCAGTCAGCAGGTCTGTCCCCCGTGCTGTCATACATTCACATTATAGTACATTACATTCTGTTCACACAGTATATTGCACATTCTTGTGACTGGATTTTGCTCCTTTCACAGATTCAATACATGTTGGTACATACATTTATAGCTGAACCGGAAAGTGATGAGTGAGAGCTGTGAGTGATCAGGTCCTCGCTATATATGCACAGCACTTATTTAGATATCCCAGGCTATGTTCAGGCCTAACGTATACAACTGCAGCACCCTGGATTTGCCTCTACACAAAATAAGGCTGGGCGTGGCCATCAATGTAGATACTGAAAAGCTTCAGATACTCAAAATGCAGTAGCTCACTTAATAATACAGACCACCAAGTGCTCTTATTCCTGAACTGGCTCCATCCTGAATATTTGGTTATGTTTGAGGTTTCCATCTTCACCTTCAAAGCCATCCAACTGGTCCAAACTACTCTGGTGACCATGTCACTCTTCAAAATCCTGACCTCCCATGACAGCTGTATGCCACAAAGGCCGCCAGGGTCAAGATGAAGAGTTAGATTCATGCGTGCAGGAGATATTGATAGCCTGGCAGCTGGTGAAAAACACTGGAACTCACTCCCCAAAGAGATTAAATCTTCCAAGAATCCCAGTGCTTTCAGATCAAGACCCCACCCCTCAACATAACCTTCCCTAAGTATGAAAGATAAAGAACAGAGAATCTATGGACTGAAAAGTGGTGAGAAAGATATAGGATTCTTCGATATGTATCCATTCGGGATCTGTAATGTGATTAGGCTGCACAGTGATGTGTGTGGCAGAACAACACTGATAGATTATTGACATGCTTTTGAATTTAAGGGAAATGAAATCATTGTGGTGAGGTATCATTGTAATTTAACCATAACGGCAAATCCCCCTGGGAGAGGAGGGTCATCATATATAATGTACATGTATGTACATGTATATAACATTGTACATGTATATAACATTATATATAATGTATAATGTTTTTATTCTTGTTTGTACAGCCCCAAGCACAATGGAATCAGTTGTACAGCATTTTAGTGTTATGAGAGAGACAGAGGCACTACAGAGCACCCTTAGGAACGTCCGCAGTATAAATAATCAATACAAAAATGGCAATATTTCTCTTAATCTTGATGAGCCCAAGGCATTCAGGAAATTCCCAGATCACCTAATCAAGGTGATGTTAAATCCCACCAGGGGCTGTTTTCCTATTACTAGAGATTTATACTCATTTTCATTGACAAGGTAAAATGGATTAAGGAAACAGAGGCTGCTTTTCAGGAATTACATGAATGCCTGTGTTCTCTGCATATGGATTTTTACTTTATACTATACAACAATGAAAGGAATTATCGAATTACAGATTATAGAAGCAGACTCTAGTAAAGATTTGGAGGATACAGCATTCAGAGAAGCCAACTGAACAAGCAGAGTTGCTTTTCTGCAGCTGCTTGATAAGTCGATGGCAATGTCCATAATATTATATAAGCAGTGTTGTCAAAGAGGTGAATTTTTTTAAAGTTCCATTAAACAGTTGCTGACATTCTTTGTTTCCTAATTTACTGGTCATTTTAGCTTGGAAGGAAAGATATGTTAAGGTGGGGTTGCATGTAGGAAGTTAGCTCCTTATAAGTTAATGTACTTTGGAGGGGGTGGGGACACTGGAAGTTAATGCCATGGGGACACAGGAAGTTAAAGCCATGATGTGATGGAATATCTCTTATCCTCTACCTGTTTGTTTTTTTTACCACTAAATTTCTGTGCAACTGACAGTATCTGCAGCTGAAACAACCTGCAGTGTGTGTCTAGAACGTGAGCCAGATTTCTGCTCTCATTTGGCAGAACTTGTTCACTATTCCAAAGGGTTAATAGAAACCTATGACATGTCTCTAAAATACATGTCATGCGCTGTTGTGGTTGTTTCCTGGTGAGAATCTGTTATGAATTTCCTGACATTTTTAGATGTCTGCTGCTCACTTTATGCTGAGCATTTCTAATCCCTCTGATTTGCTTGTGCTGCTGGTGCAGGGAAATATTTAGATCCTGGAACCTTTGCTTTCATGTTTTTTTTTATAACTCTCATGGAAAAGCCAGGAAAAAGGAAATATTTCTGTTGTATGGGCATGGAGGATTATGGGCCTGATCCTACATTTCCTAGTGGCTGTGGGAAAACTCCCATGACCTGCAGTCAGAGCAGGATCTGGAACCACAAGAGTAAAGGTTTATAGGCTAGGCACTCTCATCTGTTTGCTCAGCGAGTTACTACAACTTTGACTCATTTAAAAATATGTTTTCATATTTTATTTGATACCAGCTCTTTTCTTCAGGGCTTGTTTGTTTGGATGTGCCTTTTTGGGTCTATACAACTACTCTTTCATGCCCTCTAATGGCAGTCAGATGAAATTTACAATACAGTCTTATGCTAAATAATTGTATTAAAAAGAAAGGGACTATGTTAAAAATTACTTCTTCATTGACATTTTTATGCAAACACACACTTTATAAATTGTTTCCTTTATTCATGGAGAACAGTACAGACGTGCAACAAAATGCATTTCATTTTCTTATATTTTCAGAACTCAAAATATATGTTCTAACAGTCTCTTTTAGGATTGCACTTTATGGCCCAAATCCAGCCTAGTTTTTACCCCAGTTTTTTTCAACACAACAGGTGCATAATGCAGAGGGAGAACCTCAGTCCCTATGCTTAGGAAAGCACAAGGATTGTCTTCGTCCACTGGGGCAGAAAGACACACCTGGCCTGTGGAGCAAGATGGGTGTTCAGAGTGTGTCAAGAGATAGGTTGCACTCCATTAAGACAAGTAGGAGTAAGCATGCTCACCAGCTCATGGGGGACTTCAAGGAGGCTTTTGAATGCTCTCCAAGGGTCAGTTGGGGCTGTGTTCCTCAGGCATGATTTTGCCTCAAGTTCTATAATATATAGTTCTAGCAAGATGGATGATTTCTAGATAGAGCACTAGAATACTATTAATGTGGTTTAGTTTTAAAGGGTTGGTATACGTTGTCCTCAGGTCTCAGATTTGTTTGTCAGGTCTGATGGAAAACAGCAGTAGTTCCTTTTAAAGACTGAAAATATGGATTTTTCCTTTAAGAGGAAATGATGGCAGTGCAATGCTTTGGAGAAAAAAAAAGAGAAAGCAAGAGGTCAAACTTCTGATTTGTTACATACCTAGTTAGCAGGGGTGTGTGAAATGGGCTGTATTTGATTCAGATTTGGATTTGGCCTGAATTGGGGACAGTGATTTGATTAATTAATTCAGATCACTTTCCCCTGTTTGACTCGGCTGAATCCAAATATTTGATGCTGATTCAGAAAACCAGTGATTTGGCCATAGACATACTTTAATTGTTTTTTCTACATACCTTGAGGTACCAGGCATGGCTCATGAACACTGTGATGGTGGGGTGGATGGGGCATCCCACAGGCACCTCAGTGGAGG